ACTGGATGTTGGGGCAGGTGCGGACCCATTCATCTATATGGCTATGTCATGGACCAGGGCCCACGGAGGTAAGCGTGCAATGACATAGAATCTACAAAAGTGTAACCTCTTTTTGGGAACAGCGCAAAGGGAAAAGGAACAGAACAGGTGCCGTGGTAGTGTCTGTAGGAGCTGACCTGATGCCCCCCAACGCACTTTAGTTCACTGATTCCTACGATGTGGTGCGCGCGACATCGTGTGGTAGCCAAACTGGTCATCTAATAAAAGATATTTCAAGCTCAATTCAGATCAGTGATTGCCAAATACTGTGCAAGTCCAATAACTGATATTACAACAGTGTTCTATGAGAGGGCTGTGTCACTGATTCATGTCCAACAGGGTCTCCTTGAAAGGTTGGTCCGATTAGCTCTTCTCCTCTTGTCAGCGAGAAAAAATCGTTTCACTTTTTGCTACCGTATTCAGAGTCCCGGATTTGTGGACATATGAAACTACCTACTCATGCGGCAGCTCAGTTGTGGCTCAAACGTTCGTACACCTTACTCGTGACCCTCGATTACGTTTTCTAGAAGACAAAGCCGATTTCCAAGCAGTGATTACTGATCCAAACCAGGTATGAAAAGAGAGCCAAGGGCATCCTTGAAGACATCAATGTACGTGGGTTAGTTTCAGGAACAATGTGAAAAGGAGGTCTCGTTCCTTTGTACATACACCACGAGTAGCTTCTTAAGTTCTGAAGATCTGGCGTGCTGGGATTGACGCGTGCTTTTATGATTGTACTTGACTGAACATCGTTTTATGTGAAATACCGGTTGAATGTCACTGGTGTACATTCAAAGGCGTACTGTACAATTACCTTAGAGTGGGTCATTCTTGTGCGAGATGTGCAGGACCGCAGCATTGAAAATATTGCTCCCACTATTTAAAAATTCACAGCAGTGAAGATGAATACTTGAGCTAACTTCATGATTGTTATATATTGGCGCGACACTCGATGCGCAGTGCGCACGCAATTGAGTCAGCTGCGCGATTTCAGTCAGGAGTCATGTCTCTACAACCAATGTCGCGTAGGCTACGGTCGGGCGTATGGTTGTCTGTGTGGCTTGCTATGCCAACCAAATAACGGGCGGAGACATAGGGGACATGAAGCAATCACAAGTTGACTTTGTTGTGATGCATATCCGATTATCCAACACTACTTCTGCGACCTTGTCAACTTAGCACAAGAAGGTTCCTCCTGTCAGGTTAACGTACGGTGTGTGTTTGAGAAAAGCTTTTCGGTTTTATTGTAGTGGTCTGTGCTATGCATATATACCATTTTCACTTCGAATCCACCACTTTTCAACCAAATTAACCACTTTTCAAACCAAATTTACCGCTTTTCAGATCAAATTCACCACTCCATCACTTAGAACAAATAAATCAGGCAAATTCCGAATGACCAGCAATACCCTAGCATGCAAGCCGAGACTCTATACTGCCGATTTGCACCATTTTTGAAAAGTGGGCGGAGCCTCTCACAGTGGGCGGGGCTTCATGGAGCAGTCCAAAAATGCAAAAATTTTGAAAAAAATATCAAAATTCCGCAAAAAGCAAGTGGGCGTGGCCAAGGGGCGGAGCCTAAATTGCCAGTGCATAAATGCGCGGGTACGAGTGTCTTCGTTGTGCAAAGAGTGGATGTGAAATTAAAAAGTTGAAAAAGTTATGAAATTTCGAAGTTCGCAACAAACCCTTTGAAGAATGGGCGGAGTCGGCCATGTGTTGATGTGTTGAAATCTATGTCCGCGCTGACAAGTAGGCGTGTCCGACGGGTCGGACACGCTTACTTGTTAGCGCGGGCAGAGCTCGCACTGGTGCCTGGCGTGATCTGGTTGGTGAACTGCCTGGTTTAAAAAGAGTGGTGAATTTGATTTGAAAAGTGGGGATTTGGTTCGAAAAGTGGTGGATTTGGTTTAAAAAGCGGTGAATTTGAAGTAAAACTGGTAATATACAAGATTTCGACAAAGAGTAGAAATGGTCCTCTCTTTGAGTATTTGGTTAATAAATCGATAAATCATAATTCAGCAATATATGGTTGGATCACGTCTGCTTCATGGATTTCCGCAAATGTGTCTATTCGATTCAGTTGAATCATAGAAATGGCCCCAATATTTTTCCTTCATCCTTTTATAACATTCATACTCTGTATTTGCAGAACAGTTCAGGGAATGGATATCCCCATGCTGACTTATCAACGAGTTCGAGTACACATACTATGGTTTTTCTCGATACGGATATCACCGTATTCTTGGTAAAGTTTCACCTTGTCAGGCAAAAGTCTTCGATTTTCGTAACTACTACTCATAGTTAGTTTCGCTGCTTTTATTTACAGTTTATAATATTGCTGTGCAAGCATGGGAAGAAGCCGTCAAGGAAGTGTTATCTGCTGCTCTACCAGAGGTAGTCAATTGCTTTTTCTCTTTGTGAAGCTATCCAAGCGTATTTAAAGGCTGCAAATGACAAGACGTTTTTGAGTGAAGTCATAGCTTATGATTTTTCACAGGAAACAAGTCAAAGAGAGTTTCAAGATATTCACGGTATGTTTCGCCTATTCTGCATTTTTAGCTGGGGTTTTTCTGCTCTTCGTTCACTTGTGTAGCAAACAGCTTTGATGCGCATTGACTGAAATATTAACCAGCAACCACTTGACAGAATGAACGGTAAACAAAATGAATTCATCGAATGCAATGTTACAAACTGCAATAGGGAGAAGTTTGCAACAAGATTTTTATTTATTTGTTTATTTGTAGACGCAGTATCTCTGCGCTTAATAACTAGACAATCACAATCAACAATCACAATTGAAGTCAGACAAATCCCGTAGAATGCGAGAACTTAGGAGACCTCTGAATTAACTAGCCTGGTGGCCCTTATACGAAAGGCTCCAGGTGACAATTGGAAAATATCTTCGCCAAAAATTTTGTTCAATAAGTGCACTCTGATCGCAAAGAATTTAGACCTGACTTGGGTTCTCGATACAGGAGCCCTGATCTTGATAGTGCTCCCTCTAGTCCTAGAGGTGACTAAAGTAAAGAATTCATCCGATTTGACCGTTGCTCTACCTGTTAGGATCTTGAAAGCCATCATGAGGTCATTGATCGATCTTCTATCAAGGAGACTAGGTAGGCCGTAAAGACGCCGTCTTTCTACTGCGCTTGGTAGAGAATCATAGTCATTCCGGAACATCGGAGGGCAAGTTTACGAGTGAAAGCTATTCTGCACACTTCCCAGGAGCTCAATATCCTTTTTTATATGGCGAGAATACTGAAGTGATCAACAAAATATAAAGCAGCAGAAAATAGCTTCCTGGACGAGGAAACGGAGGGGTGAATCTGAGTGCACTGAATTCTACCTCCAAGTATACCGTCGTACTATACCGTCGCCCTTTATGGCTCACTTCCCGTCGCTTCACTGGTCGGCCGTGATCACCCCACACCTGCAGTTTTCACTCTCCACTACCTATTTTTGGTGCAGTTGCTTTGTAAAGTACAGCTGAATTGTTCTGTTGAAGGAACGTGTACTGAAATATGTGTTTCGAATTCCTCGTTGCGTAACTCTGCCTGAACATGAGAAAACGCACAATCTCTTGTATGCGACTGATCCCAACATAATGAGTGTAGATGAGCTCAATCGCCAATGTGAGGAACTCTCGGCGGAAATTGTGGAGGTTTGCTACACGTTCTTCTTATGTAGTCCCTTTTTGTTTGTATGCATACTGTTGTATTCAGAACCGTTTCATTCGAATGGATTTGGAGCATCAACTTCAGGAAGCAAATGATGTTATTGAGGTTTTGTCTGCGATTATAACGCAACTACAGCAGATTTCCCCTGATACTGTAGAGGACTCTGATTATGTCTCAAGCTCCAATATAGCTAGTTTGCCTGCGGAATAACTGTTGCCTCACAAGGCAGGTCTTTCAGTTCGTAGGGCCATTTGAGAAACGGTTTGTTGCATGTTGTAGATGTTTATGTGAAGGCCCACGAGAGTGTAATTAATTTTTGCTTCGTGTCTCCGGAAGAGACCAAAAACCCTGAATTTGGCGAAAGGAATATCCTATAATTTCTGAACGAAAGATTTGAGTGCTTTCGAATATTTTTGTCTAGATAGAAAGTTCTGAGCAATATGAACACGAGAAATAAAACGAAATGAGAAATGCAAATTTTTCTTTACCGTGGGGATCTAAACCATCGACTCAAAATTTTTTACCCGGGGTGCCGAACCATTGAATTATTGTCCACCCTTTCTTGGCCTTCCCAATGAAAATAAACTTTTTTGGCCCAGCATGATCCTCTACAACATACGTTTCGTTTACAAATAGGCCCCACGAGGTGGAAAATGCCGCTGTTTTCTGTTTCTGGGTGAACCTTGCTTGTTCTATTAGTGTTTTGAAAGTTTTGTTCCTACATAAATATGTGCGAACGATGTGAATGATTTTCGAGCTGTTGGATCTCCTTTATTTATGCCATTAACCATTTGAATATCGACAATTACAATAATTAGTTACCTTCCGTAGAGTCAGGTTTCATGAACCTGACCTGTTTGTAACTTGCTTTTCGTCGCTGTTGAGAAAAAACGACGAACACTTGACTATGACTATTGGTAAAATGAAACTATGTTTTTTCCTCTCTGCAGAAAACGTGGCAAAGGTTCGCAACCCCAGATTCCAAGTTTCTGGATGAAAGCAAGCTAGGTGCCGTACAGTTTCGACCTAGCAATCAAGAAGTGTCTAAATTGATACTTTGTTGTGTCATTCAAACCACGAGGCGCTCACCTACTTTTAATGACGTGTAGATTCTCTTCAATTAAAATTACGAGAATATTTCTATTTAATATGTTAGATTCCTTACTTGCGGTGGTGTTGTCTGTTTCTTCATGAAATGCCTTTGAGAACTGCAAACCATAGAGAAACGTGTTTGTTGCAGACTGAGCTGAACACAGACACTCGAACGCAGGTCACAGGCCTTCGTGACGGGGGACCTACGAATAAGGTGTTAAAGAAAGACAGCCCCCGCGATCAAGTAGTACATAGCCGTCCTTCCTTGTGCAAGTAGTACAGCCCCCAAGCTAGAATCTGTCCCTTCTCGCGACTCCACAGCAAGCGAGGAGCGAGCTACAGATGCCGAAAGTTCTACTTCTAATCCGCCCAGTTGGACCGCCCACTTGCTAGATGCCCTCTGACGGAGGGCCGCTCAGTTGTTCTTTGTTGGGGCGGCGGGCATTAATCGGAATTGCATGTCTTTTTGCTGACCGCGCTCGTGCCCATGAATGATTCTGCTCTCCTTTATTACATTTTATTTAGGAGCACATACAGTCAACTCCAACCCATCTCGCTAAAACGCGCAAAAATCACGAGCGACCAATTTTCGTGGTGCAAAAGCTCGACGCAGTACACTACACTAAAAGATGCACGCCACCGTAACCCTAAATGTTTTTGAGAGTTTCTTTTCAAGAGTTTTTCTTCCGCGTTTTCGTTGTTCTTTTCTTTGCATTGGATGATATCCACTACTGGGAGATGTGATAAAGGGATTTGTGAGCCAGGGGTTGCACAGAGACCGCAGGGAGGTGTGACTGTCAGGGAGCGATTTTGTTTATGGTGTTCTTGAGGACTCTTCTTGCTTTTTCTTCTTTGGGGAATTACTTATCAGCTACTGTTTCATAATTGAAAAGCAACTATCCATGACACTTTTATCGCGGGAGCTGTCTTTAAGTAATGGCTAATGCCGTTTGGACTCGCTGACTTTTGGCTGCGAGCTCATTTTTAAAGTGCCTAGATCACCAAATCCGCTGAAAACTTGTATATAGGGGTAATCTAACATCCTGTTCACAAATATGACATTCATTCTTGGCGCTGGCGCTAATGGAGGACACTACGATTATCTTCTGGGTTCTTTAGCAGAGGGCAGATAATCGTAGTGTTCTCCATTAGCGCCAGCGCCAAGAATGAATGTCATAGTCGTAATCAGGATGTTAGATTACCTCTATATACAAGTTTTCAGCGGATTTGGTGATTTAGGCACTTTAAAAAGCTCGCGGAGGGGGGGGAAATCGCCCGCCTAACGCCGAGCTCTCCTCCTTAGAAGCCCGGCTTCGCCGGGCTCATGCAAGCAGTGCAACTGCTTTAGAGTCGTGACTAACCGCTGTCTTCTAATCAAATGAATGTAGAAACGCGCCATATGATCGCAGGGCACTTTCATAATGAAAAGTTCAAAATCTGGTCATGGATAATCGATTACTCTCCTCCCCATCTCATGACAGCCATGGATGCTTCGGTCTCCGCAGTCGCTGCGTGCTCCTGTTCAGGCGAGCGTCGGTCGCGCCAATATGGTACCCCTTCACCTCACCTATCCCCAAACTAACCTCAGCTATTCCCCGCTCAGCCACCCTACAGGTCACACTCAGCTGCTACGCGAATAGCCCGTGCAATGGTTCTGAGTGCACTAAATGGTTGTGTTATGTTGTGGAGGGTGTTATGACTATCAAAACGCTACCACAATTTGATAATGCAACATTAATCGGTTCAGTTCCGATTGCGGTCGATCCATTTTCTTCTCATCTTATCGCAACCGTAGACGCCTTACCGCCGCAGGCGCTATGTGCTCCTAATCGCGAAATCGCCGTTCTCATCTGGTATCCCCCTCCACCACATCATATCCCACTGACCCTAACTTTAACTGGCGCCCACTCCCGCACGTGGATGCAGCCGCCACGTGAGCAGCTGGTGCAACATAGGGACACTACGCCGCCACTGTTCTTACCACCGCCTTGCTCGTGCTCACGTCCAGCTCCCAAGCGAGCAGCTCCTGCAATAGCACAGACTCTATCACAGTGGTTGGCTTAGATAGGGGAGCGATTCACAATCCAAACAGCTTCCTAGTTCGTTGCTGTAACATGGATTAGCTTGCAGTTTTGCTAGCGGTTCTTTCCTTCTATCTTGCCGCCTGCTCCTATCGTAAGCGCTACCCCTTACTGTACCCAGTTTGCCCGATCCAATCCCTCTGCCTCCCTCCCCTGTATGGGCTCAAATCCGACTGAGCACACGCAAGGGAGGAGAACAGGAGAAGAGGTCACTCGGTACCACTCCCACCTTCCTCACCTCATCCCTTTCCATACTCGCCACTCCCCTCCCCATCTTGCCCCTTGCGCGCGCTCACTACAACTACCACACGAGAAACCCGTGCAATGGCTCGGAGTGTGGTGGTCCTCTTATATAGTGGAAAGTGTTATTATGACCAAAACAACTTTTCAATGCGTAACGGTAACATGGATTAGCCTGCGGTTTTCTTATCGGTTGTTCCCTCCTCCTTTGCTGCGCGTTTCTACTCAAGCGCGCGCTACGCACCCCTCCCCTGCACCCCCTTCGGGGCCCCTCCCCTCTGCCTCCCTCCCATACACGTGCTCAGCTCCGGCTGAGCACGTGCAGGAGAGGGAGGCAGGGCGACCCGGTACCCCACCCTGCCCCCGCACGAGCACACGTCCAGCTGCCACGCCAGCAGCTCGTGCAATGGCTCGGAGTGTACCGAATGGTTGTCTTATATAGCGGAGGCTGTTATCACAATCAAATCATTGGACTGCTACATCCTCCCAGTCGGTTACCGGTTTGCCTAGCGGTCGTTTTCGCCTCCAGCGAACTCGAACCCGTGAAGTATTTTGCGGACGGAGACAGAAACATACATACAGTAACCGTACAACTTACATTACATACAAACATGACAAGCCGGACACACAAAGTTACTCGTTTATAGAATGAAAGGAACAATTTTCAGCGATTTAGTTGATTTAGGCACTTTGAAAATGAGCTCGCCAGCAGTAAGTCAGCGACGTAACAAACGGCATTAGTCGACGCAGTGCAGCACAGGCACATCGTTGTTGGGGAATCCCCAATAGGGGGGGTCGTATTTGGGCCGGGGAAAATTTGTTTTGATAGTTGATTTCTCTCGCTTCACGGACTTTGTAAAGGTGTAAAGAGGAGGGGTCGTACTTTGGCCATTGTTGGGAGGGGGGGTCGTATTTACGTTTTGGCGCTGCTGGAAGCGGCAGTTGCTTTTTTGTGATTGTCTATGTTTCATGCGTACCATATATACCCTCGCCATCCCCCCCCCCGTTTGAAATTTTTGGGGAGAAGCCTTGGGAACTTTTGCGGGTAAAGTGGGAGGAAGTTTGGGGCAAAATGCTGAAAACTTCGTAGAAGGGGGGTCGTATTGTCTTCGCGGCTCTCCGTTTTCACATGGCTGTTCAACCCACCCCACCCCCTCCGCTCGACGGTCCTCGAATTCGATGAGGAGGGACGGAGGGCCTTAGGGACTGGGTCGTACCAAAACCCAAAAGAGGGGGGGGGGGGTCGTGCAACTGCATCCCCAACCAATGATGTGCCCTGGTGCGGCACTGTCGTTTGGAATCAGTTAGCTAATAGCGCGAATATCGCCGCGCGATGTTTACTGCATGCCACGACAAGTGTTTGAAGGGACAAAAGCTTAACGGCATAAAGGCATAAGGCACGATAAATTTGGTACTTGCTCAAACATGATAGCAGTGGTGTGCAGTTATTCAGTAGGAATATGACGAAAAAGCAAAGTTTAGTGGCCAAACAGCTGAGAAAAAAAGCTTTGTTCTGCACGGCGTTGAACGAGCATTTTTGGGTGTAGGTTAGGACTCCACGAGAGGTCACGGCTGCCATGTTTCGCCTCGCCGCGCGCGGCGATTGCAACTGATTTTACGAGAGCAACATGGTCGTGCGATTAAGATCCCGGTCCCTTCACATAGTTCTGGCATCACGCGAATCTGCTTGGGATTTTTTAACACGAATATTCAATGGGACGACAGTATTTTTGAATGGCAGCTGTACTTATTCGACGGGTTGCTGTATTTCTTCAATAGGACCTACTTTTACCGTCTGGCCGAGAATCTTAAACCTTACAATATCTTACAATTGAGGCCAAAAGAAGGATTCACCCTGAAAAGAATTTTCGTAGATTGCTGATGTATTCTCTAAATATTATTTCTATGTTAATGTTAGTGGGTATTATACTGGTAGTTGAATATTCGCGGGGGGGGCCCCCATTTTCCTTTTTTCCTTTCATAGCCTTCACACCTGCAAGTATAAAGCAGACGGTTGGAAATCTCATGAACTATGCAAATGCAAAAAATACATAGCGAAAGCATCGCGGAGAGCACCTCCGCGGCGGCGGCAGGCTGACCTCTCGTGGAGTCCTAACCGTTCCCCGCATTTTTGGAACATCCAGGAACGATAAACGACGTGACTGTGCAGCCACCTGTCGGCGAGCGGTTGCGGGGTCGTCTGGGTCGACATGTTGCACCTCGTTGGGCGCCATAACGGTGTCCTTCGTTGGAAAATGCGCTACGTAGCGCCGGCTAAGAAGCACACTATTCTTCCGTGTTAGGCTGTTGACCCTGTATGCCTTGTCGATTTATCGTTGCGTCCATGGTCTTTGAACTTGTTTTGAACTTTTATGATTCCCTTATTCTCCCATTGACCTGTTCTCCCCAGTCGAGACGTATTTCATCTGTTTCGTAGGTTTCTATTGTCTGATATTGCATGCTGTAAACCATACCGAACAACAAGACGTTTTCGGGAGGCTCGAAGGGGCTGACGCTCCAGATAGTGGCTTGGAGCTATTGTTCAGAGTTTCCATGGGGCATAGCCGCGCAATATCCAGGGAGCTTTTTGACTTATTCCATCCTTTGTCGCCCGTGGTTAAACTTTCAACCCTCTGGGGAATTGAGGACCCACAATCATCTCGAAAGCGTATTATTCAACGGGGGGGGCGGCAAAAAAGACACTTTGCTGAGTCACATATCAGTAAAGTTTACGCAGCCCAGGCAGAAGGCGTGGATACGAGTACCAAGGTATTCATGTACACCAAAATATGAAGCCATCTCCAATCGCAGCCGGACTGGAGAAGGCCTATGGAATTCACGTCACCTCCAAACAGCTGCGAAACTTCTTGTATGGAGTCACCCATGGACAGCTACCTGGGGACCGGCACTCTTGATCTGGAAGACCTCCAACATCGAGCAGCTCCAACAACGTCGCTATGGTCCAGGATATCATCTTCTCTGCAGTCGCAAGGCGGATAGAGGTATGGACCGGAAGTTCCTGGAATGGGAAGGCCGATATTGCCTTCGTGGACTCTGGATACGTCCAACTCGAGTAGAATATCCTGCCTTCATGTCGTCGCCTGTACCGTCTTGGAAACTTCGTACTGCTGCAGGATTGGGTGCCAGCACATGAAATAAAACTCTCGTCCACTTGGAATCGAAGGGCGTTGAGTACCTGAAGAAGACGGAATATCCAAGTGTGTCACCTGACCTAAACCCCTCGATTACCGGGTTCGGGCGGAGCTCAACAGGGTGGTCTACAGTGGCGGAGAAATCAACGATCTCGCTGAACTCAGGCACCGAATCACGGTCGCGTGGCAGAATCTCTCGATGGCGTTCGTCCAGAAGGCTGTGGCGGAGTTTCGTGATCGTGTGCAATGTGTTGTTGAATTTGATGGTGGAAATGTCCAATCAGAATTTAATAAAGTGTAACTTATATCGCCTTGAAAATCGAGGAAGAAAAGCGTGCCCTTTTCGCCCCCGGTATAGATTGAAATCGGTTAATTTGAACAATAATCATGGTACATATGCCAGGCGCACGGCGATGATGACTTGACCTTTCGGGACTCCTAAGCGCCTCTCCTACCGACCGGCATTTTACGAAGTCCCTTGTGATTTACGTCCATATCGTTCGAAGTGTAACCTGAATCAATCATGATGTAAATCGCAATGAAAATACTCACGAGTGAACGTTCTATGAGCATGTTTTGTGAATATAGAAATTTGAAATCGTCGCACATTCGCTTCCAAACGACTTGTTCGATAAATTGGAGTGTCCCTAGTGCCCAACAACTTTGTTGCGGAAATTATTGAATCGCATTTGGGATGAAGTAGCCTAGGGTCAAGTGCACCGTTTACCAGGTGTGCAGTCCCGGAGGCAGACTATCTCCCGCCCAGACCTACCAAGCCTTGTACCCCTCCGAGGCCGGTAGACCGCTACCACTCGTTTGTGAGGACAAGCACTGACTTACCTTGAGTCGCACATTGATGACGTTTTGGACGCTGGCTTTTCAGCTTAATCGAAGTAAAGGAGCAGCAGAGTCAGCTCGACTTTTACTTTCAAAATTCAAAGTCAAATCTCGTGCCATTCGATTCTTGTCTGCCTTCCTGGTGGCCCTCCTCAAAAGCATGGAGGATGCACTTATTTCACAGAAAAATACAAAAGAAAGCGCCGTTTTCTCATGGAGGAACTCCCGCCCGCCCATTGACTGCCGCAACGCCCAACGTTCATTTTCAACTGCTACCCGGCGGTGCGGTTGCTCTGCCACTAACCCTCTCTACCTTGAATGGTGAGAGTGAAGCGAAAAAGAAAAACGCGGTACGAACAAGCGAGAACTCGTCCAACCACACTCTTTCTTTACCTTATGCGCATACAACCTCAATCGGCCATGAGGCCTGAACAGGGCATTTTTCATGATTTTTTTCCTGCTTTTTGCTCACTGCTCACTTGTTACCTTGTTATTACTACATGGGTCTCATAATTCATCATTTTCGAAGGCCGGCCTGCCTTTCATATCGATTCAAGCGATGCAGAGTTGGGATTTTCGACCTACTTTGCTTCGCACCGGGCTCTGTCTGGGATTCGATGAGGAGCGAGTGCAAGTACCAAGTTTTGAAGCCTCAGCCATCAGGTAAAGGTGAGGCTCAGCGAGAGTGTGGAGGCATTGTTATTTTATCCGGTACCGGAGTTCTTCTACGGAGATTTTATTCATGGCTCTTCTTAGTCATATACTCGATCGCCTGTCACCTATGCGGTTTCACCTACATTCGGAGGGTCAGCTATGGAGGGTTCTTTGAGTTCTTCGTTTCCACTAACTTCGATTTCTGCTTCCAAGCATAGCCTATAACCTGAGGGGTTTCTTCCTCGAGAACGACAGGGTCTTCGCCGTTCGAGTTATATTTCCAGTAACTGCCAAAGTGTGGAGTGGTCAGAGAAGGTGTATTCTATGAAATAGAAGGATAGAAGGATAAAGCTTCCAACGAAGACTAAGACTCCTTTTGAAATGCCTTGTGCTTTGCACTTTCGTACGGAATTGCAGTGGTTCCCCGAATGCTACGTGGCCTATACAATGGGTTTCGCAGGC